CCCCACCCGACACACGCCCTCCTGGCTGGGGCAGGAAAGCATACACCCAGACATCTGCCGACTCTGGCCATCGCTCGGACGTCCATTCCCTGTGCTTTTGTCGGTTTCGTGCGTGGTTTTTCTTCGCCACATTATCAAGGATGCTCCTCGATGGCCCTCGCCGAAGGAAAAAGGCACACGTCCGAGCGATGCCAAGGACTGGAGTGTTCCATCCACGGCCTGTGAGGTCCCGCCAGCTTCCCTGGGAGTAGCCCTTCGTCCCAGATCCGTTACTTCGGCGGCGAGCGAGAGTCGGGAGCGGCCAAGAGGGGGGGGTCCAAGAGGGGGGGGTGCAAATCATGACCGTCGGCACGTGCGCGGCCCAGCGGGGGGGCCAGGGACGTAGCAAAATATGAAGAGGTGCCATGAAATCTGCGGAAATATCATGGCCCGCGCCATGAAATCCACCCCCCCTAGTCATTCGGGGATGGACACACACCCCTTTAGTAAAACGTGGTTTAGTGAAAACGACCTGAGGCCCAAACCTGGCGGGCGCAAGCCTGGAAAATAACGGCCACGGCGCCCTCTCGAGAACCGAAAACGGACAATTCACTAATCGACTTGTCACTGTTGGGGGTTCTGTCCACCCCCGATAGTCATCACCCCCCTCTTTTCCGCCCCCGAGAGGGGGGGGCGTGACACAGAGAAGGCCCTCTCAGAGGGCGGCGGGGCCTCTCGAGAGCCCTCCGGCCCTCTGAGCCGCCTTCGGTGCCTTCGGGCAAGGCTTATGGAGAACTCCTCAGAAGGCTGGAGGCCTTACGGTCAAGTCGGGCCTGTCCCCCACAGGGAGTGTTCCATCCACGGCCTTTGAGGTCCCGCCAGCTTCCCGGGAAGTAGCCCTTCGTCCCAGATCCGTCACTTCGGCGGCGAGCGAGGGGGGGACGTGCGAAGGAGAAGGCCCTCTCGGAAGGCGGCGGGGCTTCTCGAAAACCCTCCGGCCCTCTGAGCGGCCTTCGGCGTCTTCGGGCAAGGCTTGGAGAACTCCTCAGAAGGCTGGAGGACTTACGGTTAAGTCGGGCCTTCGGGCCTGTCCCCCTGCAGGGGGACTTTCGACGAAAAATAAAAAAAATACCCAACAAAAAATCGAACAATAATCCAAAAATAGACTGGGGACAATTTTTTAAATATTATTGAACCTTTTTGGGATTGTTTACCTTTCTGGGATATTTTTGTTTTATTTTTCGTCGAAGGTCCCCCTGTAGGGAGACACGCCCGACCTAAACTTACGGGAAGCCCTCTGAGCAGGCCCGCCCTCTCTCGCGTTCCCCCCCCCCCGCCCCCCCGCGGGACGCCGAGCATATCGGTGGCCCCCGGGGTCCGAGAAAAAAAAAAAAAAAAAAACATAATAAAAAAAATAGAAAGAAAAAAAAAAGAAAAAAAAAAAAAAAAAAAAAGAACAAAAAAAAAGAAAAAAAAAGAAAAAAAAAAAAAAAAAAAAGAAAAAAAAACAAAGTGGAAAAAAAAAAAAAAAAAAGCGCCCCCCGGGATGCCAAGAGACCGGGTCGGGCGAAGGAGGGGATAGCAAAGGGGGGGTTTGAGAATCAGCTCTTGGAGCCGATTTTCCCGGCGCCTCCCGGCGCCGGAGGCGGCTATGGATCATGGAATGGGCCCCTCGGTGAGGCCGAAACCAGCTGCATGCAGCAAATGTCGTACCCCCCCCTTTCCCACCCCCCCCCTTTCGCCCGGCCCGACAGGATCGGAAGGAGAAAGACAGCAGTGACACGAAACAATCGGGGGCCAGAACAGCACAACAACGAAGCCCTCTGGGGCCAATCAAAACGACCACGGCAGCGAAACAGAGCAGAGCAAGCAAACAGAACCGAGGGAACAAAGGATGCCAGATCGGACCTCTGGGGCGGAGTCCCGGGGGAGATCGAGACTCCATCTCCCCCGCACCTGCCCGGGAGTGCGCTCTGGCCAGACTCTCGAGGCGGGGGGGTCCGGCCGTGGCGGCGCGGAGCCCCCGCGAGGTGCAGAAGCAAGCGGAAGAGGGCCCAGGCTATAGCCAAGGCCGGGTGAAGGGCGATGCTGCTCAACGGTGATGCTGGGAACCGAAGCATGGGAAACCACAGGCCACACGTTCCTGCACCTCCCATCTGCAAATGGATCGAGCGAGCACGACGCAACGAACCGCAAGAGAGCGCGAGCCACGGATTCCCGCAGTACCGAAACCTACATCGCCGTTACCTACCTCGCCGTTAGCCCGCCTACGGAGCCCCCGTGAGTAGAAGAAGAAAAAACGGCATAAACATAACCTGTTGGCGCTCCGCGCGGATTTGTTGGATCCGCATCGGATCCCCCTGCCTGGCGCGAGGAGCGCGCCATGGGGAACCCCAGCGCAGATCCGACAAAAAACCGCGCGGAGTGAGCTTTTAAGAAATAGTAGAAAAACGCTGGGCTCGATCCTGGAACCTCGAACCTTCGATCCTCAGAAGCTCTACCCTGGAGCCGCCCAGGAGCGGGCCGGCCAGGAGCGGAACCGGGCGGACAAGTTCGGCGGCGAGCGAGGGGGGGAAGTGAGAAGGAGGACGCCTTCCCAGACCTCCTCGCGCTGTTTTTTTTTTTCGCGAGACACAACAAAAACCGACGGGAGGTGTGTCGCCACTTTCGGCCTCTGGGGGCCCTTCCAAGGCCTTGAGACCATCAAAAAACGACCCGGGACGAAAAATTGCCCCAGGGAAAAGGTCCAGACCTCTGGGGGTCGACGTTGTAAGCAAAAATCGACGTCGGGGGTCTCGGTTTTTAGAAGGCTCGGAAGTCCCCGGGCCTTCTGAGAAGTGTTCTGAGCCTTCTCGGAAGACAAAACAACAACTTCTCGGGAGGCGCCAGGGCCGCAAGGGTTCCTGAGGAGTCCCGCCGTCTTCTGAGAAGGCCTTTTCCTTCTCGTTTCCCCCTTCGCTCGCCGCCGAATGCAATTAGTTGAAAGGGGCCCTGGGACACACAAGTAAGTACACACACAAATGGCGAGATTCCCCATCGTTTCCCATCTGTTCAGGGTCTTTTGTCCCCCCGCCTCCCATATGTTTCCATATTTCTCGCCATCGCTCGGACGTCCATTCCCTGTGTTTTCTTCGACTTCGCGCGTGGCTTCTTCGCCCAATGATCAAGGACGCTCCTCGATGGTCCCCGCCGAAGGCGAAATGCACACGCCCGAGCGATGCCAAGCTTTCCTGGGGATTCGACGATTCATCCTGTCTGAAGGGGAACTGGAACACACAAATAAATACACACAAATAAAAATATCCCCCATATTTTCCTATATTTTCTGGGTTTTTGTCTTCCCCACCACTTCCCATATTTTTGCATATTTTCCTGGGAGTCGACGATTAATTGTGTCTGTGTGTTTCTTTCCCTCCTGACTGTCTGTGTTCTCTCTCCCCCCTTGCTTCGTGCCCTCCGACCTCGGCCGCTGCGCCGCCGGCCGCCGCCGGGAGGCCGTCCAGGGCGCCCTCGGGCGATCTCCTGGGCGGGCGGCGGCCGCGCTCCCCCACGGGCTCCTCCGCGCTCGCTCCGCGCGGCGCGGCGCGCGACGACAGTCGTCCCCCGGGCTCTGGGCTTCGTTTTTCGTATGGTGGGCGTGTTCGCCCCACTGCCTTCCCTCCTCTTCTCTGCCCAATTCAAGCGTCGCGCGGCCCGCTTAGCTTCGACCGGAAGAGGTGCGCTCTCGACCCGCGGATCAAAAAGTGTTCGCCCCACTTCGGGTCACGGGACGATCGCGGATCGACGCGGCTCCCAAGGTGCGGCAGAAAAAGGGTCGGGGGCTCTGGTCGGGATGTTGCGCCATGCCGATTTGCGTCGCGACGTCGGATGTCAGGGTCGCGCTACACATCAGGTCAGGCATGTCCTTCTACAGGCAGACTTTGGAGGAAAATTCGAAATAATAAAATCAAAACTCGGTACATGGTCAAAGCCCAAGTAGTAGAAATCGGAAGATCGCCCCCCAATGTGTTTTTTCGCACCGTATCTGAATGCTCCTCCTGTAGAGGGACGTGCCCGACACAGTGCTGCACCAAGGAGCGCCGAACGATGAGCAGAAGGGGGGGGCTGTTGTTCGGGCCACGGCGCGCCTCGGCCACGAGTGCGCGAGGTCCCCCGACACGGAGAGCCCCGGGTGGTCCTCCGCTCCGCGCGCTGGAGCCCCGGGTGGTCACCCGACCCGGGGAGCCCCGGGTGGTCACCCGACCCGGAGAGCCCCGGGCGGGCCTCTTCGTCTCCGCGGCCGCTGCGGGCGCTATCGGGATGGGGAGGGGGGGCGGAGTTGATAAGACCGTGTGTGCGTCACGTGTGTTGTTCATAGTATCGCAAGGTACGTGTTTGTGGACTCGCGGTCGCGCTCCAAAACAACATAAAAAGACTTGACACTGGATGAAACGATCCATCCGTGCACAGAAGCCATCGATAAGGCGGCGGCGACGACGATGACGCAACTACGGCGAAACTGGAACGGAGCGACCTTTCGCACAAGCGAACGTTTGAATTGAACATCGGTAGTCTTCCTTCGAACGCATGCTCAGTGCTTGAGCAAGCGTTCTGCGCTCCGCGGCAATTCAGCTTCGACTGCGCGAGGGTTAGACTTCATCTTGATGCGAAGCTTTGGCTCGTTATGGTTTCTCTCGATGGACTCTTTCTCCTCCGCCATGTTTTTGAGGTCCCGCTTCATTTGGCGTTCTAATCCAAAGAAATTGCGACAATTCTTGTGGTTTCAGTGATGTGGGTGCTCGCATGGAAAAAAACAAAAAAAACAGCGTTCCCGGTCCACGGAAATCCAAAAGGCTGTTTTACAAGGCTTGCAGCATCGAAGGGCAGCAACACCTTATAAAACACAACGTGGTCAGCCTCCGGAAAGCCAAAACGCTATGTTATATAATGTTTCTACGCACCCCGTCGGTAAAAAACAGTATAAAGCACAGCGTGTTGGCTCTCCGCAGGCTGAAAACGCTGTGTTCTAGAAGGTTATGCTGCCCTCCGATGCTGAACACCTTTTAAACACAGCGTGTTGGACTTCCGAGAGGCGAAAACGCTGTGTTTTGTTTGGCAATGCGAGCACCAAAAACATTGAAAACGCATACATTGTAGCAATTCCCTTTGATTTGTGTTGTTTCAGTTTTGTTATTTCTCCTCTTGGTTTCCTCCGAAGTTTCCCTGTACTCCGGCCTGTACGACTGGGACTGTAATGTTGAGACTGTACTACTGGAGCTGCAGTATTGGGGCGGTAGTACTAGGGCTGTACTACTGGGAGCTATAGTATTTGGGCTGTACTACTGGGGCCTGTAGTGCTGGGGCTGTACTGAAGGGAGTTGTAGTACTGGGGCTGTACTAGTGCGTGCTGTAAAAGTGGGGCTGTACTGCTGGGGCTGTACTACTGGGGGCCGTACTGCTATTGCCACGACAACAGACAGCAAGAGCAATAACATCATGCATAACGAAAACAAAAAAAAAGGAGCGATGACGCACGCACGGATTTATCAACCTTACGGGGAGGGGGGCCCTGACCTCCCAGGGGGGCTAACGAACAGCACCCGAACCTTGACGCCGCAAACTTCCCGTGGAGGTCTTGGGCAGTCCAGATCGGTCTGTAGGTCTGGAGGGCAATTTCTTGGCACTCTGGAAGGTCAGGGGAGGGGGCGAGGGGGGTTGGGGGGGAGGAGCGGGAGAGGACATAACGTAGCGCACACCCCGCTGCGTTCGCTCTCCCGCCCGCCTCCGAAACAGCCCTGGAGAGGAGAAGCATCCTCCTCTGATCTATCTCCCTGGCGCGAGGACGTCGGGCTCGGAGCTTTTCCCCCGGAGAAGCGCCCAGGGGCCGCCCCGGGCCAGGGCGGCTCCTCCCCCCTTGGCGCGGAGGGGCCCTCCCAGCGAGGGCACGGCGCTGCTCGCGGCGCTCCGCGGCTCGGTGTGGCCTGGGCCCTCTGCCTCGCCCTCCTGCGTCCCGCGCTGTCGTCCTCGTTCGAGGCTCGTTTGGGGGACCCTCCTGGGGTCAACGCAAGGGATAGGTTCGACCCCAGTTCGACTCAATTTCGACGCGAGTTCGTCTCAGGTTCGACTCGGGTTCGACTCGGGGTCGGCTCAAGTCGACGGACGTGCGACGCAGCTTCGACGCACGAGTGGAGCGAGCGTCTCCAGAATGAGCATCCAATCCTCGTCCCTCGTCCTTCTCTCGTCCCCTGGGTGGGGGTGGCGCGAGAGCGCAAAGCTACAAGATAGTGTTTTTTATCCTCCGGGCCACACCGCGCGTCGTGCCCCCTCCCCTCCCCCCCTCTCCCCCCCCATAACGTAACGCTCCCCTGCCCTGCTCAATGCGTCCCCGTCACTGCCGCAGTGCGTCTGGCACTTCCGCAGTGCGTCCGGCAAGCTCGGTGGCGCCATCGTAAAGCGACAAGGCTACCTCGAGCGCCCTGCACACGGGCGGCATCAGAGCGCCCAGCCAAGTGGAGAGGCCGTCCTGCGAACGATGGCGTGTACAAGACGTCAATGAGATCAGAGGGAGGAAAAAGGTCCCCATACCGCTGCCCTTCGCCAGTCTTCCCCTTTTTGGGCCTCCTGGGAGGCCCTCGTCGTCGAGATTCTGGCCAGACCGTACCCCGGGAGAGGTCTGGGGAGAAGCGGAATCGGCACCTTCTTTTGGTTCCCTGGGAGAGATCACGGCGGGAGGCTCTGAGGCATGCCTCGGCCGGAGGAGGAGGAGGAGGAGGAGGAGGAGGAGGAGGAGGAGGAGGAGGAAGAGGAGGAGGAGGAAACGGAGGAGGAAACGGAGGAGGAAAAGGAGGAGGAGGAGGAGGCCCGGGGGCCCTTCCCATGCCCCCGGGGCCCTCCAACACCGACGGGGGGAAGAGCCAGCTCGGGAGCCGCGCCGCGAGCAGCAGAAGAGCACGTGGCGCCGCCTGCCCGGGGAGGCGGGCCCCTGGCTTCATGCAGTGCAGGCCAGGACGCTGACCTTCCACAAAAGCTACAGTCAAAAACCCTAGTAAGGACGCGCGGTAAGGACGCAAGACCCTTGGAAGCCGAAGTTGGCATTTCTGGGGCCGCGGACGACGAAAACCTCAAGGACGCATAAGCAAGGAACAGCAAGGACGCAAGGGTACCCTGAGCAAAGTCGCGCGTCCTTATTGGGTCTTTGACTATAGAATAAATAACACCAGGATCTCGACGTCTAAATTCCAGCTAAGGCTTTCAGCAGCCCAGACAGGTCTCGAGGGGCCAGTTGTTTTGGCACTCAGGGGAGGCGGCCCCCCCTGGAGCGATCCCCGCGCGGGGCCCCGGAGGCAGGCAGCCGCGATATTTTACACGTGTGCACCCTGCCCGCGCGGGGGAAAACATGCAGAGTTCGGATGGAGCCTGCAGCTGAAGCCCGGCGGTGGTGTCCGATACCGCTGCGACGGCCAGACCCGTAACGGTAGGTTTCGCGAGCGGTCGCAGAGAAGCCGGATGGGCCACCCTGGATGAGCAGTACGCGTTGGTCGGAAGAAGTAGGTAGAAACATGAAGTAGGAAGGCGGATTAAGTGGATTGGGCCCAGGCCCCCCAGGGGATAACAAAACACAGCAAAAGCGTGTAGATTCTTGAAGTAGGAAGGCGCTTGAAGTAGATTGGGATCTGGGAGTCCAAAAAATACCTACTTTCAACGACCGGCGTGTAACGATGAGGGGGACTGGCGCATGGGGGGGCAACATCGACTCGGAATCGGCGACACATCGCCGACAGATCGGCGATGGAACCTCCGACAGCGAAGCCGCACGCTCTTGGGCGGGGTGGCCTGTCGGTCCCCTGTCGGCGGTGAATGAGCGCTTGGAGGTCGGTGCATCCGCCCTGAGCCTGATCCCCCCTGACGAGGCTCCCTGGTCTGGGGGGTCATGACCCGGCTCTCCGGCGGCTGCTCGGGACGATCCGGGCACCCCCTGAGCGCTTTCGGCTATGGGCGCAGCTGCTGAAAGCATCCCGAGGCTGGAACCTGGCCCTCCCCCCTTCCTATCCTTGCCCCTGACTGGGCTCGAAGTGTTGAGAAGGGACCGACCGTCCCGGCAATCCTATAGCCATACAACGAAATGTTCTTAGAACTCCAAAATGCTCTAAGCACAAAAACAATGTTCTTAGAACACAAATCCGATATGCTAAACCAAGACAGACTCCGCCAGAAATGTTCTAAGAACCTTTCGTTGAAACCACAGAAGGTTCTTAGAACATTGTTTGGTAGGGCTATAGGCGAGCCAAGACGCTTCGCCACTGCTTGAGAAACGTCGTCATCAACACAACCTTTCGGACGTCCGCGCAGACTTCCTGCATCGGCGCGGGTCGCTCCCACTACCTGGCACTCGGAACGCGCCAAACCGCCGCCGGCGGGGCCCGCCGCCGAACCACGGAATCTGCGCGGAGCTCCGAAAGTCTATGGCTGTGTCGACTTTTGTTCCTCGAGATGGGCTAGTCAAGAGCTGGAGGCCTCCCAGATGGGGTCGGAGTAGACGGGGTCAGACAATCTCACTGCATCGCCGATGCTTCGCGGATGCATTGGCGAAGTCGGCGATGCACCAGCCACGCCGGCGTGGAGAACATCGTGTTCCGTATCGAACCGCATTGCCGACGTGTCGACGACGCGGCGTGATCCTCCGATCCCATCTACTCGGACCACGTTTGCCAGGCATGGACATACACTGCCTCTGCTCTCCCCGCCTTACTGCCCCCTCCTCTCCCCGACGTCGTCGGTGGACGATGGCAGAATCGGGAAGAAGCGCGGGCTGCACTCCTCCCTCCCTCCCTTCCGCCCTCCCCCTCCCCCTCCCCCTCCTCCCCCTCCTCCCCTCCTCCTCCCTCTCACCCTCCTCCCCTCCCCTCCCCCTCCCCTCCCCCTCCCCTCCTCCTCCTCCCCCTCCCCCTCCCCCCCTTCACTCCTCCCCTCCCCTCCTCCCTCCCTCCTCCTCCTCCTCCTCCTTCCTCCTCCTCCTCCTCCTCCCTCCTCCTCCTGCCTCCTCCTCCTACCTCTCCTCCTCCTCCTCCTCCCTCCTCCTCCTCCTCCTCCTCTCCTCCTCCTCCTCCCTCCTCATCATCACATCATCATCAATCACATCATCATCATGCATCATCATCAGCAATCATCATCCATCATCATCATCATCATCATCATCAATCATCATCATCATCATCACAACCCCTCATCCTCATCCTCATCCTCATCCTCATCCTCGATCCTCATCTCATCCTCATCCTCCCTCCTCCTCCCATCCATCCTCCCTCCCTCCCCTCCTCCCTTCCCTCCCTCCCTCCCTCCTCCCCCCTCCTCCCCCCTCCTTCTCCTCCTCCTCCTCCGCTCCCTCCTCCTCCTCCCTCCCTCCTCCCTCCCTCCTCCTCCCTCCCTCCCTCCGTCCCTCCTCCGACCCCATCTGGGAGGCCCAGCGAGGCGCGCCGCCTGCCGTGCCGCGGGTCCTTACGCTGCTCAGCAGCTCCTCCAGGTTCCTCGGCGCCGCGGCGGCCGGCCTCCTGGAGCCGGCGAGGGCGTCCTCGGCCCGGACGGAGCCGGCGAGGGCGTCCTCGGCCCTCCTGGAGGCGGCGAGGGCGTCCTCCGCGGGGCGGGGGAATACGTCGGAGCCTCCCCCTCCCCTGAGCTTCCGGGAGGGCCAACAAAAAACACCCCGAGCCTCGACGCCGCACTTCCTGTGAGGCGGGCCAGAGAGGTCTCTATGGCGAGCGGGCAACACACACACCCATACCCATAGGGAGGTCGAGGTTCTGGGCGTGTGCAGAGAGGTCTCCAGGCCTGGGGGGTCCTGCTCTTTTCACGCTCTGGAAGGGCAGGCGGGGCCAGGACCCCCCCGGGCAGGAGGGCCAACCAGAAGCACCCGAGTGCCTCGACGCCGAATTGCCTGTCGAGGTTCTGTGGCAGTGCGGAGAGGTCTCCAGGCCTGGGGGGGCATGCTCTCTTCACGCTCCAGAGGGGCAGGCGGGGCCAGGGCCCCCCTTTCGGGCAAACGAAGAGAGACCCTCGCGGCGGGAGAGGCGCGCCTCTCGCCAGGCTCGGCCCGCGGGGGGGGGGCCCTCCCCGGGCCCTCGTCGCCGGGCCGCCCGAGGACGCCCCGAGGCCGAGAGGCCGGTCCGCGGGGAGCGGGTCGAGGCCCCATAGGGGGTCGACGCTTTTTGAAGAAGTCATGGCGTCGGGGGCCCGGCTACGCCGCCTGGGGAGGAGGCGTGCTGGGACACCAGCGGGCGGCTGATATCTGCGGCTGATATCTGCGTTGAACTTATCCAGGCGAAAGATCCAACAATGTGCAACTGTGAATACCGCAAGGCACGTGAGTAGGGGGCCACATGCGAACCCTACCCCTACCCCCCACCACCACTTCCGAGGGGGAGGGTGGGGTTCACTTCGCCTCGGGAGCTCCCGCACGAAGTGAGCCCCACCCTCCCCTTCAGGAATCGTGGGGGGCAGGGGTAGGGTTCGCATGTGGCCCCCTACCTGGGACACCAGCGGGCGGCTGATGTCTACGCGGCAGAGTTCGGGCCCGACGAGTCCGACAACGCCACGAGGTGTGGTTCCGTGGCCCTGGCGCTGCTTCTTCGTGGCGTGCTGCTGGGGGTCCGTGGCCCTGACGCTGCTTGTTTGTTGTTCGTTCCCGTTGTTGTCCTTCGTGTCGTCCCCCCCGCGACCCACCCCGCGACCCACCCCGTGACCCACCCCGCGACCCACCCCGCGGCCCACACGCGAATCGCCCGCGACCCACCCCGCGCCAGCCCCAGTCACTCCTGCGTCCGCAAGTGCAGGGTGCTGCGCATCTCGGCCACGGGGGGGCCCACGCGTGCCCACCTGCGGAAGCCTCCCGGACGGGGTCGGAGCAGAGGGGCCCAGAGAGCCGATGCCGCGGGTTGTTGTCCATGCAGGGCCCCCGGACGTCTCGGCCCACTCCCCGAGACCGGTTCTCCATCCCGACTCGTTCTTGACGACCCCGGGGCACGGCGAGGGCCCCTATAGAGGCAGCTCCTCCTCCAGCCGCACAAGACCTCCTCCTCCTCCTCCTCCTCCTCCTCCTCCTCCTCCTCCTCCTCCTCCTCCTCCTCCTCCTCCTCCGAGGGGGTGGTGGACCTAGAGGGGGGTGGTGGGGAGGGTCCGCGGACGGGGAATCGCCGCTGCCCTGCCTGCAGAGCAGCCACCGCCTGCCGACGGTCCCCAGAGAGGTCGACCTCTCCTGGGCGGCGGCCCATGGAGATACTGAGCAGGGACCGACCGTCCCAGCGTTCCGGCAGGCCTACCACGACATGTGCTCAGAACCTGAAGCTGCTCTAACCACGGGAGCAAAACTCTCTCAGAGCAGAAGCCCGCTGAATGAGAACGGGACAGCCTCAGTCGCCGTCAAGCTCCGCATGGGTGTCGACCTCCTCCTCCTCCTCCTCCTCCTCCTCCGCCGCCGCCCTCCCTCCTCCTCCTCCTCCTCCTCCTCCTCCTCCTCCTCCTCCTCCTCCTCCTCCTCTCCTCCTCCGTTGGACCTCCGGGGGGGGGGGGGTTGGAGGGTCGCGCCGAATCGCCGCTGCCCTGCCTGCAGAACAGCCGCCGCCTGCCGACGGTCCCCAGAGAGGTCGGCCTCTCCTGGGCGGCGGCCCTGGAGATACTGAGCAGGGACCGACCGCCCCAGCGTTCCTGCAGGCCTACCACGACATGTGCTTGGAACCTGCAGCTCTTCTAAGCACAAGAGCCAAGCTCTCTCAGAACAGAAGCCCGCTGAATGAGAACGGGACAGCCTCAGTCGCCATCAAGCTCCGCATCGGTGTCGACCTCCTCCTACTCCGCCTCCTCCGCCTCCTCCTCCTCCACAATTACTCAATATGAATACTACTCTCCCTCTTCCCCTGATGACGGTTTGAAAGTGTCCGACCCCCCCCCGCGTACTGTTTTTTTTTCACACACACACACACAAGTTTCCCCGAAGTTGGGTTTTCGCCTGCATGTTTTTTTCAAAATGCTGCTCTCGCTGAGGCGCCGGCCTCATTTTCAGGCCCCGCTCGTTCCGAATCGTGCTCCCGCTGCAGCGCTGGCCTCATTTCCGTGCTTCCGCTCGTTCCGAATCGTGCTCCCACTGCAGCGCTGGCCTCATTTCCGCGCTTCCGCTCGTTTCGACTCGACCTCCCGCTGCAGCGCTGGCGTTATTTCCCGTGCCATGCCACGGCATGCAATGCAATGCTAGGTTGATACTACGCTTTGCGGTGTTCTTCTACGCCATGCCATGCCGTGCTCTACAATGCATCGCGTACCCTTTCGGGATCATTGCCCTGCTCGACATCCGACTGTGCGAGTAGAGAGGGGATCTGCGCCATGGTAAGGAATGGGAGGGAGGGGTAGGATGTCAGATATGACGCGAGCGCACCTAGCTTGTCCGCCCCCCCTCCTCCTCCTCCTCCTCCTCCTCCTCCTCCTCCTCAGATGTGTTAAGAACATTTCGTGCAAACGACAGAGGCTGCTTAGAAATTCGTTGGTGGGCCTACCCAGACCCCCGACGTCGTGTTTTTTTGTCACCACGTCGATCTCCAAAGGTCTGGACCCCTTCCCCGGGACCAGTTTCTCGTCCTGAGCCCTTTTATCACGGTCCCAAGGCCCGGGAAGGGCCCCGGGAAGAAAAGATCGAATAGCGAAAAACCTCCCGCCGCGATTTCTCACAACGCGAGGGGGTCTGCGAAGAAAGGTCCTTAGAACACTCTCTGGCGGGCCTCTGGGCGAGCCAGGACGCTTCGCCACTGTTTGGATCAAGTCGGGCGCGTCACTCCACCGGAGGAAGATTCAAAAATAGTCCAACAATAGTCTGGGGACGGTTCTTGCATTTCTGCTTGACCATTTGGGGGCATGGTGGGAGTATTGTTATTCTTCCGGAACCCGCCTGTAGGAGCCATGCCCGACCTAATGCTTGGAGGCAAAAGCCCCTCCGCCCCGGCGCCTCGGCCCGCCGGACGCCGGCGAGGAGCTCCTCCACCCGCCGGGAGGCGGCGAGGGGGTCCTTCGCGGGGGGGGGGGACGCCGCGGGAGACAGCTGGAGCGGCAGCCCAGCTGGCTCCCGCGCCCAGCCCGACGGCGCAGCCGCAGCTCCTCCTCCGCCTCCGCCTCCTTCGCCTCCTCCGCCTCCGCCTTTTCCTCCTTCTCCTCCGCCTCCTCCTCCTCCTCCGCTTCCTCCGCCCCCTCCTTCACCTCCTTCTCCTCCTTTTCCTCCTATGCCTCCTTCTCCTTCTCCTCCTCCTCCTCCGTCCCCTCCTCCCCCTCCACCAGCTACGCCAAGAACGTGCATACACTGACACCCTCCGACGAACCTTGGCATGTACCTTCACGGAGGGTGGCGGTGTATACAGTCGACCCGTATCATGAAGACGCACGATAAGCACGCAAGGGCTTGGAATGCGGGGCGCGGCCAACGAAAGTGGCCAAGGATGGACCGATGAGGCAAGGATGCAAGGGTGCCCTTGGAAAGGTCGCCCATCCATACTATGCGGTCTGACCGTATACACAGACGCCCTCCGACGAAATGGCATATGTTCCTTCAGGGAGGGTGGCGGTGTATATATATATATATATATATATATATATCTTTATATTATATATAAAAAGATATAGATATACACAGATTAATAAAGTCGCTGGCGCCCACTGGTAATTTATCTACCTCGCCACGCTCCCCTGCGGCCAAAGAACATTCCGTTGGAGGGTGGCTGTATGTATTTATATATACAAATAAAACACATATATATATATATATAGCGTAGCTGTGTACATACATCTATGTACACCTATAAATGAATGAATCGAGAAAATCATGAACACATTTACATATGTGTATGTACGTATGTACGTACGTACGTACGTATCTATGTATGCATACACAGATGTGTTGTGCTACGCTGCCCTCTTTTTTTACCCGATCGCCAGAGAGTGATGACAGCCAGCATGCTGCGCTGACTACAACAATGGTCCCTAACCATGGACTGGCAAACGCCAGAGGGCCTCTGGAAGGTCCCAGGACCGGCGTGGCTGACCCGCCAATTGCCCAGCCCTAAGGGACCTTGCTTCTTTCGCGCACTCCCACCTGGCAGCCGCGGGTCTGCCGCTTTCACAAGTCGTGGCTGTTCTTGTGGCGACTGAACGTCAGCAAGGGTTGCGACGCCCTCCTGGATGTACAGCCTGGCGCTTCGAGTGGAGGCCCATCGTCCCCTGTGTAATGTTTTGTCCATCAGGCCATGGGATCTGAAAACGTAGGTGGCTCCACAACGTCGTAAGGAGCATGGGCTGCACTCGCCGCCATCCAATTCTAAGAGCTGGAATGCTCGGGGCAAAAGCTGCGCCGGAATGTTGGCACAGTGAGCTCTCGGAGGCGGTCTCCAGGAAGAAGCCCTTCGCACAACCCCCGCGCGTAACCCAAGACTCGCGGGCAACCGATGGTGACGCTCTCTGCGATGCCCGTGCGCCTGGATGTCTTGGTGCCCTTTAGCACTATGACCCCTCGTCCTCTTTGGTCGTCGAAAACCAACTGCTGCCGTTTTAGCCCCACTCCTTCGCCTGTGCGGAGGCAACAGTGGAACATGATCACAATAAACAATGCTAGCCGGCGCTGGCCCATCTCTACCACAAGGCCCGCCACGGCACGCATCATTTTCGGCGGCCACGCTCTCGATGGCAATTCCTTTGTCCCAAGCTCGCAGAAGACGTTTGGAACCGTGTAGCAAAAGACTCCGCATTATGTAGT